CGCGAGGGTCTTTTGATATCGCACCGGCAAACAATACGACGAGTAATAAATACTGATGATAGTTCGAACAATGAATACACTGTGTCGTGTTATCGTTGAGGCAATTTTTAACGTTCCACGTCGATTCGCGTCGATTTATACGCGAAACTTTGTCGTTGACCCTCAATCGCCTCCGAACAGATTGAAATAATTATCAAAAGAATGTAGCTACTTCAACGCGAAAAGAAAATATTCGCTATTCTCTTTTACATTCGCTGCGCGAGAGACAAGAGCATCCACTCGAAAATAAACGGGGGCTCCAGACGGACGATGATAATAATCGGAAAATAATAAATGTGCCAAAATCATTACGGAAATCATTAGTATACAATACAGCGAAACGAAGAGGAATTCAATAACGAGGCGGTTCGGTGCCCGGTGTTGGATTTCTGCAAACAGTCACGTCGAACGCGGCGTGGTTCGTGTCCACTGGATCCACCGGCGCAATTTCGCGCCGCTTATCAGCGGCGATAAGCGGCAGAGAAAAGCGAGACGAGGCGTATGAGAAAAGCAGCGTCGTCAGAGATCATTATATAAGCGAGTCCGATACATGGTGTTCGCGTGCAAAGTTAGCGTAAAGCGCGCGCTCCTTCCCGCAGCCTGTCATCGCTTTTATTTCGACGAGCACGTTGCACCGGCGCGACGCGACGCGACGCGACGCGACGCGACGCAACGCGCGCTAAATTTGTACTATATAAGCGCAGCGGCGCGTCGCATTTAATTATAGCAGCCTTTAGAGAAGCAAAATTCCGCGATTCGCGAATACACGCGGTGACACGAGCGCTCGTTCTCTCGGCGAAACGCGCGCTCGTGGGTGGCATTGTTTGACAATGATTCCCAGTTCGCGAATCTCGATGAAAGGGAGGAGGGGCGGTCGGACGGCGGAGAGAAAATTTCAAAAGCGCGGCGTGGAAATACCTGATTCGGGAAAGGCGATGAAAGTGCAGAAGTTAATGTCGAGATGAAACGTCGTTGTTGCTCATACGGAGCTGAGCGCTCCCGATATTCTCCCGTCCGTTGGCGAAAAACTTACGAGGGAAGTGTCCCGGAGAAAATTATTGCATCTTATACGTATTACAGATTAGAATATCAAAATTGTACCTAATGAAGGTGCAATGAAGAATATCGCTCACCCGAAAGATCGGGTGAGAAGTTGCTCGCACGAGAGAGACGGTTGACAGACAAACGAGAGAGATATTTCGTCCCGACGTTCGAGCGGAACGAGTTTCGCTCTAAAGTGTAATGTTGCGGCGTCGCCGAGAAGAACGTTATTAAAATTACCGTAATCGAGCCAGAGGCCAGGTGAACGATGCAGGTGTTGCCGAGGGCAGAAATGCTACCGTACACGCAGATGGCCCGTCCCGTACGTTAGAGAGAGAGAGAGAGAGATCTCCTTTCGGTCAGACGATCTTTAAAATTTCATTTCCACGTAAAGCCGCTCATTAATACACACATCGCGCGAGCGCGCGTGCGATAACGTCTCTTTACGTAACCCCTGCGTTTTATAAATATATATATATATACATAACCCGACGATTTATTGTGCGGTTTAATATATTCGCGAGAACTCTGATTCAGCGCTGCGCGCAAGCAATATTTACGCGTAAACAACTGTGTCACTCGCTAATTATATTTACAGAGAAAATTTCACAGCGACGCGCCGCGTGCGAGCGTAATCGTCGTCACGCTCGCCAACCTGATAATCGCGTCGATGTACAATTTTCCTTTCCCGTTTTCAATCGACTCTTTCGCGTCCGAATGAGATATACCGTGCGACGCGATATATTATTCTTTTTCCGCTATCGCGGAAATAATCGACGATTCTATCGAGCTGCTAAACGAAAGAAGTGCCGAGAACAATGACGCGTATTCGCGATAACGGCTGAGCGCTTCGTGACTAATCGGCCTTGCCGAGATCGTCCTTGTTATCATCGTCATCGCGCGCAACGTCAAATGAGACTTTTCGCATGGAAAATATTGAAGGAGCGCACGTGCAGCGCGACACGTAGTCGACTAGATTCCTCGTCGCTCGCTCGTTGCCCGAAACGTTTGCGCGCTCGTCGTTTTAAGCGACCGGCCTGTAACGAGATTCTTCAGTAGAGACGTTAAATCGAGAAAATCGCGCCTCCAATATCGCCACCTAGGCGGAGACTACGTCTCCCAGAGGGCTCCTGCTCGCAGCCAGTGGTGAATGTCGAATTAGCAAAAATCAACGTTCGCGCGAATGTGAGAATTTAGCATCCCAAAATACGGTTTTGCAAGTCGAGGCTTTCGGTGGGGAACGTGACGGGACGTTAATATATATAATCGCGTAAACATTCATCTGATATCTGAGACGGTAGCCGCAGCGTGTCTCCAGATGAGACGTCGTCGATTCAGACCGATCTCTCTTCGCGAGAGACGCGCGTTATGTAAGAGAACCGTCTCGGACTGGCCGTGAACTTAACGGCGTTGTCGTCTCGTTGTCGTCGTCGTCGTCGTCGTCGTCGTCGAACGCGGATACTTCCTTTTCCACGCACCGCGCACACTCGCTCGATGCGCTCGCGTGCGAGCAACGAGAATCGAGAATCCGCAAAGGCGGAAGACAGAGAGCCGAATCTCTCACACGGGAGCGCACAATGAAGACGAGAAGGAGTTTCAACTTTCAGCCAAGTACCGAGGCATGATCGTGAGTGGAATACATCCATCTTCATCAGCTAGGTGTATTAATAGCGTCACCGGACGATTATCAAGTTTGTACGTAGTGGCGAGTCGTGCGTCGACCTATCTGCGGCCTGCGACCACCACTCACTCCTCTCACTTGCGCCAACACGTACCTCGCTGCGATACATTTAGCTAAGTAGGATGGCTTTCTGAGCCTCTATTAATTTCAAGAAAGTAATCGTTAATTCCGCGCCGCTGCTTCCGCGACCCCCCCCCCCCCGCGTCGTAGGCGGGAAAGAAGAATTATGGTAGTAAATAATTAAATATCACGACACGGACCGTTTTTCTTCCGTGCACAAACCATCGGTTTCGTGTCAAGAGAACGAGTGATCGGGACGAGGGATGATGACCTCTCTCGTGGAATTCTCATCGAGGAGCAGCAGATCGACTGCAGATGTTCAGGAGGGGAATCCGTGATTAAAATCTTACGAGGTGAATAAGAGGGCAGATGCCAGCAGATGCTGGCTGACTGGCAGACTGGCTGCACAGAGGTCAATAATCGCAGTCTGTTTAGCTTGGAGTGATAAAAAATGAGCCGCGGAAGAGTGCGAGGGAGAGAGCGAATGCATGAGCGAGGCTTGGTATCGGAGAAAAAGAGAAGACGAACATGTGCTCGAGATACCGTGATCCTCTTCAATGTGCGCACTGATTAATTTCGAGAAAAAACTGGCTCTCTCCGAGGAAGAGGCGTCGTTGTCACGTGTTTCCTTCATGGCTCATCATCAACATCAAAGCTGATGGGGAAATGCAATTTGGCATTGTTTTTAGAAAGAGAGAGAGAGAGAGAGAGAGACAGAGAGAGACGGAGAGGGAGAGAAAGAGAGATCATTTTGCTAAATATAACTCTAGTTGGCAGATAATTTTGTGGGTGATTAAATGTAGTAAATAAGACCGTCTGAATGGACGATTGTTTAACAATTATTCACGTATTTTTCAAGTCGCTCTCCTCAACATTTTGTTAGTCAGTGCGCGTCATTTTCTCTTTTATTTCGTGCTCAAGTGGCGCACAATTAAAAGCGTACAATTTAAAGCACATTAACATCACGAGAAGTCCGTTGAACATTACGTATCGTCAATTACGATAAAATATCTTTCCACAATTATTCGTTATTCGTTTCGCGCAGATATGTTCCGTTTCGTTTCTTGCAAAAAAGTGCTTGCAACAACAACAAACCAATATTAGACATTGGAAGTTTGTAGTCTCGTGAAGGACGATGCAAAAACGCATCTCTCCCGAGTCAGTCGGCTTCTCGACTTCTTTCCGATATAAATACCGTCCTTCGGCTATCGAGCGTTAATTAACCGCTGCTCAGAAAAGGTTGCCGGTCGGGATCATTACCAGGACAGATTTAGCTTTATCGTTATCTCCTATCGGACGCATCTGAAGCAGGTCCGCGAACGTGGCGCGCGCGCTTTAAACGCGCGACTGGTCCACCTGCGTTACGCCGATCCGCATGGTGTTTTCGAAAAGACGTGATTTAACCGGCGCCGAAAATGTCGGTGACGTCGATTAAATCGAGGCAGATTATGAAACGCAAAATGATAAACCAGTAGACTTTAAGTCGTCAACCGACTGAAACCCAGGCCTGAAACGTTATTCAGATTAGGTGTTTCGTAATAATCTTTATGTAACCATGTTGTTACCCTTCGCTCGTGTGAAGCAAACCGAACCTAAAAGCGACGGCGCTTTCCGTCGGACTTTTCGGAAGATCGTGAGACCGAACCGTCGTCCCTAAGGGTTCGCGCCCCGCTCATTTTCACGATCCGACCGGTTTCCGTTGGTTCGCGCAACAATCTGACTCACCCGCTGCCTTCGACCCAGGTCTGAAGTGGCGCGAGAACCACCACGTTCGTCGGACCAAACACTTCAGGATCGGTGAGCCGATGTAATACCTCGTAGACTCGGAAGAACCGCGCGAGAGAAATTCCTAACGCGAGGCGAATTGGCCTCTCTGAAGTGAAGGCTAATCGCGTGAACCGCAATGCTGAAAACTCCGAGCGTGCATCGCGTTCACCGATAAAACGCGAGTCGACACGTCAACCGAGAGAGAGAGAGAGAGAGAGAGAGAGAGGAGAGGAGAGAGAGAGAGAGAGAGAGAGAGAGAGAGAGAGAGAGAGAGAGAGAGAGAGAGAGAGAGAGAGAGAGAGAGGAGAGGAGAGAGAGAGAGAGAGAGAGAGAGCGACCCGAACGCGCAGCGACATACATTCACCGCCGACGCGCAAGAGTCATCAGCAGGAATAAAGCATGATTTACTCACCGAGATGAACCGCCAGGTTGTACCTCTCGAGTGCTTGACCCAGGTGACCCTTCCTCACGAGAATATCACCTTCGTGCCTGGCCCGACTGGCCTCCACTTCTCGCGGCCACCATCTCTCCACGAGCCTCTGTACGAGCACGTTCGTCTCACCCACAGCGACCATCTTCAGGCCGCACACGCGACAATTCTTCGCCGGGTCCACGCAGTTCCTGCAGTAAGTGTGACCGCAGCCGGCGGTCACCGGTTGACAGAGGGTGCCTTCGCAGAGTGGACACGCGAAGGACGCCTCGATTCTCCGTCTGGAGGTCAGTCCGGAACCGGCCATGTCGTCCAGGAGTGCGGTCGCCAGGTGTTTCAGCCTCTCGGCCGGCACCGACGTCGTGGCCAAGCACCTCGTGTAGATCCCGATGGAGTCCATGATACGGCCACACTTGGCCAGGGAGTCGCCGAAACCGAGCAGCACCTCGTAGTTTGTATTCTGCTGATTCAGGCTGCTCAGCTCGTACATCTCGGCCGCCAGGTGGTAGTCGCGCGAGGTGAACGCCTCCTTGGCGAGTTCCGTCATCGCGTCTCGTCGCGCCGCGCTGCGTTTGACCCGTCGCGTGTCACCCTTCGGAGGGGGGATGGGGAATCCTGGATTCTATCCTTCTCGAGCCAGTCACTCACTCGCACGCGTCGAATATCGCCCGGTCCGCGCCCGGTGGATACCGCTCGACGTCGACTTTGCAGTGTCGAGGACGACGTGCATCTTACGGAAAAGCCGAGCGTGGAAATCACGTCGGACGCAGATCGTTCACAGGAATCGGGTCTTCTTCGCCGCGGAAACTGCGCGCGGCTTCCCACGATCCGTCGCACTCGATCTTCCCTCTTCCTTTCCTTCCCCCTCTCTGTCTCTTTCTCGGGAATCTCGCTGATGATTCACCGGGCGCGCGGGGTCTCAGCAGCGGGGGCCTCGTCGGAGCGATCCACGCAGAGTTTGACAGCTGACCACGTCCACGCGATCCGCGCGTCGTGCTGCTCCGCGGTAGACGTGAGCGTGACGCGCGCGCGCGAGACCGCTCCACACGGCACACTGGCGCACCGAGGACTGACGCCTCGGCTGTCACAGGTCAGCCGAGCCACTGTCAGAGCCGGTCTGCCGTCATCAGCAGGGGATGGTGGTGGTGACGGTGCTGGCGGCGGCGGCGGCGGCGGCGGCGACGGCAGCGGCGGCGACGGCAGCGGCGGCAGCAGCGGCGCGAGCGGCAGCAGCAGCAGCGACTGCGGCGGCGGTGGTGGTGGTGGCTGTGGCGACGGTCGTGGCGGCGGCAGTCGTGGCTGCGGTGGAGGAGCGCTCGTGGTGCAGCCACCTCCAAGACACGAAGCCAGCGCCACGCGGCTTCGACGTACTACGCGGGGGTGGGGAGCCGGAGAGAATTACGGAGCACGCTGCACGTAGCCTCCGAGAGTGTTGCTGCTTACTCGTGTCATGGCAGCGCGTCTGCCGCGGTGCGTAGGTGTTGCAGGCCGCACTCCCACCCGCTCGCACCCGAGGGGCTTTGTCGCGCCGTCCGACGACGCGAGGATCGCTTCTTCTTTGTCCGCTCCGAGTGCTCCTTGATCGCCGGCGGTCATTATGAATGTTGGATGAAATGCTTGTCAAGTAGAACGGTGCGCTTTTCTATCGTCGGGAAAGCGTTCGCCGAGCTCTCGCTGGCTCTCCCCGTTCCTTCTAATCTCTCCTCGCTGACGTTTCTCCTCGTGCTCTGCCGTCGACTCGTTGTTGCGGCTGATAAGAGACCGGCGGCGCGGGCGTCCCGTCTTCACCTGCCGGAGGGAAGGAGGTCGCGATAAATCTTCCACTACGTTTAACCCACTTTTTCCTCGAACGTCCTATCGAATCGACATTGGAGTCTATAATGAATGACGACCGCCACGCTCCGAGTGAGTGCATCGGTATGCCTTACCCTCTCTCCGTCATTGTCACAAAGGACGTCACGAAAGCATGACTCTCTGTCATTGGCACATTAATGCTGCCGCAATAGCCCGATTGTGCACGATCCTCACGATCGCCATCGAGTCCCCGTACGGTCGATCTTACTCGAGGCACATTCCCGGACACTTGTTGTCGTAACCTTGGCTCGATCGACCAGGGACTTCCGCGGGAACGGATCTTCCCCGGCCTCGCCGGTGGGTCGAGTGTGCGCAAACTGCGCGGCACAGCTCGCTTCCGCGAGAGAGAGAGAGAGAGAGAGAGAGAGAGAGAGAGAGAGAGAGAGATTTCACCGAGGGCGCACAAAACGCGACCGAGCGTGACGTGAGTTTCGATCGTCGACACAGGCAGAGAGCTTTTCGTTGCTGAACTTCGGTCTTACAGGGACTCCAGCCTTCTCGCTGAGTCTCGCAAGCAGCAACGCATGACACACGGAGGTAAAGCAGCCCGCGCTCGTTGGATGCGTGCGTGCGGAGCACGCGTGTGCGTGCACGGAGTACGCAGACGCCGCGCAGGAGGCGCGCACCTCTCGAAATGAAGGGCGAGAGAGAGAGAGAGAGAGAGAGAGAGAGAGAGAGAGAGAGAGAGAGAGAGAGAGAGAGAGAGGGCTGAACTGCGTGCCGCGCGAGGGCGGCAAAGGGCGGCGAAGAATGGGAGATCAATATATGGCAGCTCACGGGGTGATTAACCCCCGTGCACTTGTCGCGAATCTACGGGCCCTTCTCTCGCTCTCACCCTATCGAAGTCCGATAACGGACTGTTCGAGAGCGGCTCCCCTCCCCTCTCCTCGCGATTTCAAAGCGACAGTTTAATTATATACGGGAATATTTAAAGCTGCAGAGACGACGGTCTCTTCGAGACAACGGTGGTTCTCGTGGTGAATTTCAGAGCGTAGGGAATTATACGCGCGATCGCGCCAACGCGTCGCAGGACGTGAGACGGATGACTGCCGATAGTCGTCTAGAGCGCGAATGACAAACGCGCGTATTGATAGCGCGTATTCTTACGTGATCGCCACGAGTTATTTAAATTACATGTTTGTGGCGCAGTACGCATAATGAAGGCGATATCAAGACGCGCTTGTTCAAACGGCGAGAAATATTCGGCGCGCGACTCGGGACGCTCTTGCGACGAGGGAAATATAAAAGTATTCGAAGCTTACGGATCATGAGAATAACTGGCGAAATTAACGCTTATCGGATATTCGTCGCATCGTCGGCTGCACTTGTGGAAAAATTTATCGTCGTTTTGATGAACTCGATAGAGAGAACGCCGTCCGTTCGGCTGCGGAACGACACGCCTCCGCGGCGCTGTACGGTGCGCTTGAAGCAAGAAACCGACAACACATTGCATACATTGCAACTTGGTCCGATAAAATACAAAAAGAAAAAAGAGAGAGAGAGAGAGAGAGAGAGAGAGAGGAAAAAACAAAAGAGAAAGATAAAGCATAGCGATCGCCGCGAGGAATGCGGTCGGAAAGCGATCGTCTTCGAAATCCGAAAAGCCGCGCTCTTAATCTCCAGCTGCATACGCGCGTTTATCTGGCGACTTACGTAAGATATTTGTGTCGTACAAAGAGTCACCTTTGCCGATCGCAAAACAAATTGTTAATCATCGAAATACAGCGTATCTTCCTCTCTCTCTCTCTCTCTCTCTCTCTCTCTCTCTCTCTCTCTTTCTCGCCGTTACGTAAATGGTTTACACACGGTCGGTGAGGCGCGTCGCAACCGCGTGCGTCGTCGGTATCTGCTCCTTTTGGCAGCGGCCGGAAGACACAGCGGATTTTATTATGCTCGATGCGGCTAGAGACATCGTCATCGTCGTCCTCGCCGCCGTCCTCGCCGGTCGCGGTGTCGTCGTCGTGACCGTCGAATTCGTCGTGGCTTCTCACAGTTACGTCAGTGTCTTAATCTCATTCCCGGATGAAATCGCCGCCGGTGTAATCGGTCGTGTTAACGGGCGAGCGCGCGCGCGCGCGCGTGCTATCGAAGTTTATTTTTTAACTGAGCGTGCGCCGGCGCGCAGGACGGGAAGTCCGTGCATTTCGTAATAATTCGTTTTTCCTGCGCGGGCGCGCGCTTTTTCTCCCCTTCAGAAGCGACGACGATTGTCGTCTCGAAAAACTCGAAAACTCTCGTCGCACTCTCTGACATAACTCGCAGCCGACCCACCTCCCGGTCGTTATTAAACGCCGCGTTTCGCAATTATAGGCGCCTTACGTGACCGCGCGTTTACTAGAGCGTTGAGCAATGCCCGAGTTCGATATACACGATCGAGAAGCGTGGACAAGCGCGACTCGGATTCCTCGGTCAGTCGGGTAGACGCGCGAATATCGAGACATCTTACGGATACTTTAAGTTGAGAGAGAGAGAGAGAGAGAGAGATTGCACCAATTCGCGCAAAAATGCGGTTAGAACTGTTACCCGGGGGGGATCGCGTTTCGGTGACGTTACGTAAGGTTCCCTCCGACGATTAATTTACAAAAAGGAGATCGATCGAGCCGCCACCGTCGTCGTCGTCGTCGAAAAAGGATACGCAAGGCGCGTCCCGACACGCCGCACTCCGTCATTAAGTCTCCTCGTCGGGACGATAAAATCTGATCGGCAGAATCGACGCTTGGCGTTTTAACTGCTACTCTGTAATTTAACGCTGCAATTCCGTTCTAGGCCGTTGTCTTCAGTATCGCTCGTTCCAATTATATCGTCGTCTCTTCGCTAAGGAAAATCCCCATTATAATCTACCTAAAATTACGCGCTCTGCGCGTAACATAATTGTTATATAAACGCTCTGTGCTGAACGTCGAGTTCCCGGTTGCCGTTATCAGAAAAGCAAGTCGTCCGGCTGAAGGGGTGGGCGAGGCGGAGGGAGGAGGTCCGCGATGCGACGCGAGGCGACGCGGCGCGGCGCGGCGCGTTACGTTGCGTTGCATCGGCACACGCGCGCGAGCGGTTTTGCACGTGCGGATTTGTAGGCGCGCGGAACGGCGCGGCGCGAGCCGGCGACGTGGACTGCTGCGAAACGCGGTTGCGTAAACGCGCTTTAACCACGCGAGAGAGCCGCTCGTTCGCTCGTTTTCTCGCTCGCTCGCTCGCTCGCTCGCAGCGGCGCGGTCTCGCAAATCGGCCGGCGTCGCATAAAGCATCGCGGCACGACTAAAAATAAAGCGGTCTCTCGGTAAACAGTGAGCTCCTTTATGTAATGAATGAGCGTGAATCGCGTCCGCCGCGTGCGGTACACGCGGCGAAGAGGAGCGGAGCGGAGCAGTAGCGTGGAGCGATGTAGCGCCGACGATACACCGGCCCGCGAGCGTCGGTACCTACTAGCGAGACGCGCGTCGTGTCGGCGAGCTAGTAGATACGGACGTCCGCGGGCTGGCGCGATGCTGCGGCGAGCGGCGAGCGGCGAGCGGAGCGGAGTAGCGCGCGGCGATATAGCGCCGACGATACACCGGCATGCGGCGGCGTGTCTGTATCTCCTAGCGCAGCGCGACGCGACGCGACGCGACGCGACGCGACGCGACGCGACGCGACGCGACGCTGACGTGCCTGAAACATTAGGTGCGAATTGATCCTCTTGTCGCGCGACGCGATCACGAGTCCTTCGTATTCCACAGAGGAACACAAGCGAGGCATTGTTAATTGCGTTTTCAGAGGAAAAGAAACGCTTCGGTGTCAGCGCGATTGCGCCTCACTGGACGAATAAATCAGCCACGACGATCGCCACCACGGTAGTGGTTCGTCGTGGTAAAAGCGTCCACTGAGACGGCGACTGCTTACCTAATGGCCGAACGCGAGTCTTGAATAATCATCGTTATTTAATTGTGATTGTTGCGAGCTTTTTCCGTGCGATCGAACTTGCTCGTGACGCCGTACGTCGCGTAACGACGCGTTACGTGTCGAAGCGCTTGATTCAGAGACGCAATCTTTCACGGAGCCTCAGCCGCGTGGAAGCTCGAAATTTGTGCCAACGGCCGAACTGACTCGACACATCATCGCCCTTTCACGCGGATGTATATTGTGCGCGGAGCACACAATTCACTGGCTTCTCAAGATATCTCTCTCTCTCTCTCTCTCTCTCTCTCTCTCTCTCTCTCTTTCCCTCTCTCTGTCTCTCTGTCTCAGCTTTATTACTACTGCGAGAAAGACGCACCGTACCACGTCGTTCTCCGAATAGCGACGCGAAAATGCGCATCGACGTCGGATCGGTGCCACGCGCAAAACCGAGCGGCTACATGCGGCTTC